GAAGACTGTCTTTTAAAAAATGCACATATGTACAATGCACTATTTTACTTATACTCTAAAGGGGGTTAAGAATACCTACTTTGTCTAAAGGAAACATTTGATAAACATTTTCAGAAAAATGGTTAAGATGTTATTGAGTGGTTGGAATTTATGTTTTTACTGAGGTGGGGGAAATGGAAATCTGGCAAACATGAACACTTTAAACAGTTGTTTGGTATCTGCTCCATTAAATACTCCTTTGAAAGTACCAGTGACATCTTCGTATGTGAAATGACACATCTTACTTAATTTCTTTTGTTACTTGAGCTCTATACTCTGTTAACCACCAACACCACACTCTTGGTTTTTCTCCCAAATCTAAGCATGGTTCCTTCTAAGGCTTCAGGGATCTTCCTGTTATGATATCTACCCATTATTCTGAAATCTCTAAAAAATCTGAAATTCTTTAAATATCAAGTTTTCCCTAATGTCCAGCCTTTTCACTTTTCACTGTAAAGAGGCTTAGTAATGGAAAATCTCATTTTGTTGCTGGCTGGTACTGTGTAAACTTTAGTGGGCTAGTTGAATAATAAATGATTAGTCATCTACTGAATCTAAAGCCAAGAAACTGAAGTTTGGCTATATTTTCACTAACTTTTGTGTTTGCTTGGTGCCTTGTCTTCAAACACTGTCAAGAAGAAAAAGTATACACTGGTCATGTTGTATCCTTGTAGCTTGTACAGGGGAAATGGTTTCTTTGGAATGCTATAAAGCTGTTGCCAGAGACCTAGTTATGAAGTCATCTTTTCCTCCAGATGAGACTGTAGACTCATTATTACTCAGTTTGGTTCAGGAACTAACCAGAAGAGCAAAATATTTCTAAATAGTCTCTTAAATGGTAGCATTAAGAGCAGAGATTAAAATTTTCTTGTGTAGCAAAGTCCCACATATAAAAAGGCTACAGAGTGGAAATGAAGCACTTCCAAATCTGTTGGGCCCGGTTTTGGGTGCTGTCATCAGGGACATTGGGCCATAGGAAGCTAGCTATGATGTGGTTCATTTGCACTGCTCTGTGGCTATTGCACTCCCAATGTGATTCTATATCCTTGACTAAATAAACTGGGAACCTAATATAATAAGTATAAATATGCAATCTCTATATACATCCACTGTCTACCTGAAGCAATGTTGCTTATAAGTATGTTTTGAAAAGTAATGTCAAAATTTGTTCTTTATGATCATTTAATTTTAAAAGGGATAGAAGACTATAACTACTACATGAATATTTACTTTTTTTTTTTTTCCCAATCTACAAAGCAGCTGGCCAAAAGTTCATTTCTAAAAGCTGTGCCACCTCTGAGGGGCTGCTTTAGCCTATGGCTTATGAATGAGAGACTTGATTCAAAACTTGGTTCTATCACCCAGTAGTGGGTCATTTAATCTTATAGGGATATTGTAAAACTGGAGGTAATATGGAAAAATGTCCAGGTCACCTAGTTGTAGGAACAGCAATGATAACAGTACAAGTGAAGGAAATAGTACTGGCAGCTATTAAAGTTCTATGATATAGACACAGGATTTCATATATTTTTCATTTATTCAGGGTAATCTGATAAAATCCAATACACTTTCATGTAAAAACAAGCAATAACCTAGGAATAGAAAGCTTCCTCAACATGGCCAAGGACATATATGAAAACCCACAGCTAATGTTATATTCAGTGGTGAAAGATCAAAAGCTTTTCTTCTAAGATGAGGAACAAAGCAAGATGATATGCCTTGTTCATGGGTTGAAAGAATTACTATTGTTAAGGTGATTAAATTCCCCAAAGCAATATGCAGATTCAACACAATCCCTAACAACATGATGTGTTTTGCAGAAATGGAGAAAATACTGCTAAATTTGATAAAGAATTACAAGTGACAGAATAGTCAAAATAAAATTGGGGAAAAAGAACAAAATTTTATGACTCAACTTCCTAATTTCAAAGCGTACTACAAACCTAGAATAATATAAACAGTATCATAAGGATAAATATCAACAAATGGAAGAGACTTGAAAGCTCCGAAATAACCCTCATGCCTATGGTCAAATAATTTTTGAGAGGGGTGCCAAGAAAATCCAATGGAGAAAGAACATTCTCTTGACCATGTGGTACTGGGAAAACTAGATATCCATATATGAAAGAATGAATTTAGACTATTATCTTATTCAATACACAAAAATTAAAATGGATCAAAGACCTAATTTTAAGAGATAAAGCTAATTAACTTATAGAATAAAACACAAATGCAAATATTCATGACCTTGGATATGACACTGGCTTGTTAAATTTGATCCCCAAAACACAAGCAATAAGAGAAAAAAACGCTTCATTTTGACTTCATCAAAGTTAAAAAAATGAATCAAGAGAGTGTCCAAGAGAGTACAAGGAGAAACCATAGAATAAGAAATATCTGCAAATAGTATATCTGATCATGGTTTAATATCTGTGTTATGCAAAGGAAAGACAAGCCAATTACAAAACAGCCAAAGGAATTGAATAGACATTTCATCAAAGAAGATACACAAATGACCAATAAGCACACAGATAGATACTCAGCATCACTAGTCAGTAAGGAAACACAGGTCAAATGTAGATTGAGATATTTACTAGGATGGCTATAATAATTACAAAAAAACACAAACAAACATAAAATTACAAATAGAGAAACTGGAACCCTGGGTATTGTTGGTGGGAATGTAAATGGCAGAGTCATGGTGGTTTTCCAAAATTTAAACATACCATTGCCATATGAACCATCAATCCCACTCTTAAGTATATATCCAAGAAAGCTGAAAACAGGAACCCAAACAGATAATTTTACATGAATGTCCAAAGGAGATCACAGTAGCTAATAGGTGAAAAACACCTCCGGGTCCACCAACAGATGAACTTGGCCTTTTTGTTATAAAAGGGAATGAAATTCTGATACATGCTATAACATATTATGCTAAGTGGAATAAATAAAACACAAAAGAACAGATATTGTGATTCCATGCATATGAAATGTCTACAATAGGTAAGTTCATACAGGTAGCACAGCAGAGGTCACTAGTGGCTGGGAATGGGGAATGGGGTTACTGTGTAAGTAGTAGTGTTTCTGTTTGGAGTGATGAAAATATTTTGGAAATGGAGAGTACGGACGATTGCACAACACCATGAATGTAATTAATGCCACTGAATTAGACACTTAAAATGGTTCCAACTGAAACTTTTATATTTAAATTTCCATTAAAAAAAAAGTTAAAGGGTCAGTTTCTACAGTCTCAGGGAGAGAATACTAAATGGAGGGCTCAGTCATGCTTGTATTTTGTGATAGTAAAATTAGTCCTGGACTTGGGGGTCAAGAGATATGGATATAGGGGCCTCCCGGGTGGCACAGCAGTTGAGAGCTGGGTTGCGAAGCTGCCCGCAGCTTCTGCAACGCCGGTTCGATCCCCGGCCACAGGGTGAGGGTCCCACATGGGTGCAGACCTCTCCTGATGCCCGCTGCTCCCCTCAGCAGTGTACTTCGTTAGTCTGCCTGTTCTACTCTGCGCTCTGCCTCTGGTGAATTCTTTTACCCTCCCACACTTCTGACTATACCCAGTGCTTGTATAAATAAATAAAACAAAATCTTAAAAAAAAGAGAGATGGATATAAATCTCTTATTGACCTCTACTCTTAAACCCCATAAGCATTCTCCACAGCCACTAGAAAACAACAACAAAACTACGTACTTATCTAAAAAGAAAAAGAACAATGAGAGAAAACAGGAGAAATTAGAAAAAAAATCAATTGATAAGTTAAAATTAGGAAATAAAAACTGTAGTAAATAGAATAGAAATCAAAAAGCTGGTTCTTTGAAAATACCTGTAGATAAATTCTTGTAAGACTGATTAAGGGGAAAAAATGTAGACAAAACAAAAAATGGTAAGATTAAAAAGCAGATATATAAACTCAGATATATAGTGGCAGAATTATAAGACAAATATTTCATGTAGGTGTGTGGCAGCAGATGTGAAAACACAGGATGAAGGATTTCTGTTTAGTATGTGATGACCAAAATTGATCAATGTATAAGTCGAAAACTGGAAAAATTCATTTTCAAAGGAGAGATTAGAAAATCGATTTAAGATGTACCATTGCAAACGCCTCCGGGGGAATTTTGGATCAACTCACAAATATCTTCTAAAAAGTATATCTGAGCTAAAAAGAAAGGTAAATTCCCAGGGAATAAACTTAATAGAGTTGAAAACCAGAGAAGTAAGCTAGAATTAGGGCAGAGTTATTGTTGTCCGGCTTACTGATCTGAGTAGCAATGGGTTTAAAATACATACCAGATGATCTCACTTATATGTGGAATAGAGGGAAACATAACAAAGGGTCAGTCAAACCCAACTAATAATAAACTGCTGACTATACAACTGAGGGGACCCAGAGGGGGATGGTGGGAGGGGCAGGAGGAGGAAAGTTGCCCAATGGAATATAGTGGAGGATTATTGGGGCACTGGTGGTAGGCAGGGTGTGAAAATATACAGTTGTAGAGGTTTGAACACTCCCTCAAAGCAGATAGAAAGATGTAAACCTACATTACCTCAATAAACACTAAAATAAAATAAAATGACTGTGGCAGGACAAAAGATAAAACTGTACGGTTGCATAAAGTGAACTAAAGACCCTACCCACTCCCCACTACAGTTGGGGCACTCTAAATAAGAAAGTGAATTAGAAAAAAAAAAAGTTGGTATTTTTCAAGAAAAGGGGAGAACAAGAAAACTGTTTTTCGGAGAAGGATCATTGTACACCATCCTCAAACCTGCTGGCTCCCCCAGGGCAACTACTAACCAGGATTTTATGTTTGTGTTTACTCTTAAGTTCATTTACTTGTTTTGACAAAAATGGTATACTGAAAAGGTCTTCTGTGACTTAAATTTTTTTACTCAACATAGTGTTGCTAAGAAAAAAAGAAAACGAAAATTTAATGATAATCACAGGGATTGACACACAATGTTTTATTGATTAAAAAAAAGAGCAACAAAATATTCAAAACCATCTGTGTGTATTGTCTAAAAGTAACATTAGGGAAAAACACAAATTGGCAATAAACTTTAACTTCTTTCCCCAAATTTTCCCAAACAGCTCCCACCCCCCAAAACAAGTATTCTTAACGTCTTAAACAGTAAATGGAACTTCAAGCTAGAAACCAAAAAATGGCCCCCGAGACTGGTTTTCCCAGCTTCACTTCTTCAGAAGGGCAGGCCCCTTAACTGGAAAGCCTGGGGAGGCCTAAAGCGGTGCCTGGGACAGAGAGAAGGGCTCCCCCAGGAGGGAAAGGGGTGGGGGAGTAGGGTGTAAAGAAGGGCCCTCCGCAGTGGAAGGAACCAAAATGGAGGCCTGGTGCCAGGGGAAAGCACACTGGTTCCCCCGGGAAAGGCGGCTCAGCTGGCCCCACCTCTTGCGGTGGAGAGAAATCATTGGTCGGGTGACTGCCCATCTTGCTCCGGTTACAGAACCAAACCCGGACCAGGTCCTTCTGAAGTCCGAGCTGCCCAGCGATGCGGTGGATTTGCTGGGGCGTGGGCCTCGGGCACTGCAGGAAGAGTTTCTCCAGGTTGTTTCTGATGCGTCTCTCCCTGCTTGCCCGCCGCCGCTTCCGAGCCTGCTGCAGGATCATCTCCATTTTGCACATGCCCAGCAGGTTCTTGGTATCTACCTCTTCCAGCCACATTTTCAGCAGTGGTCGCAGCTTCCACATCTTGGCGAGGCTGAGCTGCTGGGCTTCGAAGCGGCAGATGGTGGTCTGGCTAAGCACTTCTCCAAAAAGAGCGCCCACAGCAAACCCTACGTCGGCCTGCGAGTAGCCCAGGGTCATCCTCTTCTGCCTCAACTCCTGGGCCAACTGTTTCATCTCTTTTTCTATGGCCGAAACGTCCTCTGGCAGAGCCAGCTTTGGCATGCACCGCAGGACAATGTAGGGCCCTTGTAAGGAGGCCTCGGAGGGGCATAGCGAGCAGGCTCCAGCCTCACCAGCTCTCAGCAGGGGCACACAAGGCACCACCCCGCCCTGGAATTCATACAGCTGGGGGCTCAAGGGTAACCCCCACACTTCAGGGCCTGGGCAGACGCCCGGCCCTATCCCGGGTCGGACCATCAGCCTGTCAGAGGCCACCTGGGCGCTCAGCGGGATAGGAGCGTCAACCAGTGTTCGCACTGGTCCTTCAGGCCCGCCCCCACCACTGAGAGGCAGAGGGCAGAAGTTTGAGGGCCTGTGTCCAGCCATGGGCTAAGACCGCACTTAAGAGCAGAGAGTCTGGTAGGAACTGATAGCTCTCGAGGCTCGCTAACAGCCACCAGCCCTGTCCTCGAGCCCTGCCCCCCAGTGGGTAGAGTTGGTGGTGCAGGCGGGGAAAACAGACTAAGGGAGCGTGTATGTGCAGTGGTAGACAAATCTGGTAGCTCCACTTGTAATTCCTTGGGTGCCTGGATTTAAGGGGTTGGGGTCTTCTACCATGAACTTTGCTTCCAATTTCCTCTGAGATGCAAATATCCCTTTTGGATTTTGTATCTTCAAGCTGTCTGGGACCCCTCGCACTGCTTCCATTTATTCCCCAAAGGGAACCTGGGCATTTATTTATAGCTTTTGAAGATCTCTGGTATCTTTTCTCCACATAATCTGAACAGCAGTTTTAGCTTCATGAATATTTGTTAAACATCTGTATGCCAGGTATTGCTGTGACTACTCAATTTATTAACTGTACCCTCACTGCTATCTTTATGTTCACAAGTACTTTATGGTCACAACAGTCTTTCCTTTACACATCTTCAGTCTCTGTGCACTAAGAAACATCAAAGCTTCTCTGCTTGAATTTCTAGTTAGTATCAGTTTACTGTCAGATTCTAAACCCCACTCCCACACTTTGCCAGATTCCACTTTCTCATGGGGGCTGAATTTCTTTAGATTTAAATTCTCTGTTTCCCCTACCAATCCTTCAAGTTGTTTGGTTTCCATCCCAGTTCAGCTTCCAGGTCCTGAGTCAAGACCCACACCTACTGAAATTGGTCTTCTTGAAGTCACCAGTAACCTTTCAACTTTCAAATCTGAAGACCTTTTAAAAACCCTCATTCCATTAAACTCTGCAGTACCTGGCAATTTTGACTTTTCTTCTTGCTCTCTTCTTTTTGAATTTCCATGAAGTGTTTGTAACAGCCAAATCTGTATTTTAGCTCTGATGTCTTTTTAATTTTTCTCTTCTTTATTTATCACTGATCCCAAATCAAATTCATTATCTATACTTTTAAACCTGCTTCTTCTCTAGGGTTCCCTGAGCTAGTTAATGGCATTATCACCCATGAAGCCTTAAACCCAAGAGTTGCTCTTGACCATTAATTCTCACACTCTGTGGGGCATTAAATCTTATGTCCTGGGTGCCCTAAAACATCTAAATGCTGCCATCTCCTCTCTAGTGACTCCTTTCAAATTCATCTTGTAAACTGCTGCTAATTTAAAAGAAAAAATACCAACAAACCAAACCTAGCCAAACCCAGCTAAACCAAATAAAATAACTATGGCACTCTCCTTCTAAAATTCAGCCCTTCTTCTTCCAGTCAACCATGTGGGCATTCAAATTCCTGAGCACAGAACACATGGCTATTCATCATTTGGCCCGTCCCTCATTTCTTTCCAATCTCATCTACCATACTCTTCCCAATTCTCTGTAATGCCATCTTTTCACTCTGTCCTAAAGACACGCTTTTCATAACTATTATGCCCTTATGCTTCCCCCTACTTCTTGATCTTGTTTTCTCCTATTACTTGGGATTTTGTCAAATGTCTCTCATTAGAGAGGTCTTGCTGACCTCCCTGCCTAAAACAGCACCCTATATCACTCTCTCTTTCCTTTATTAATATATTTATTTTTTGGTATTAGCAGGTATCACCACCTAATATGTAATGATTTGTCTTCTTATTGTCTGCTTCTTTGCTGCCAAGGGAGCAGGGACTTAGTCTAGTTCACTGCTGTGTCTACAGTGCCTATCACTGTGTTTGGCTAGCAGAAGGTGTTCAGTAAACACTTCTGTGTAAGTGACGTAAGCTGCATTTCCAATCACCTTTACGATACAATTTAGAGGCATCTTATAGCGACACCTTCCCCTAGACAAAAGTTAGTTACTACTTTTGTCACACTCCACTTATACTTGATAGATGTTTTTATAGTAACTTGTATCAGTAATTATTTTATGTCTCTCTAATTAGACTATGAAATACTTAAAAGGTCATCATGCAAGAAGGTATTATAAAGACTGAAAGTAACAGAACTCTGACTAATACATTGCTCAATAAATGTTTGCTGAAAGAATAAATCAGTCCTTTTATTATTCTGACAGTAAAGCACATTTTGTTGCAGTATAGAAATCATAATCTTGACTCTTCTGGTACCTCTTGATCCTCTCTCTTCTGTATTAGAACAAGGCCCTTAAACACTTACTGGATGGGAATAATAGCACCACAAGCCTAAATTCAACTCAACACTAGAGGTAACGAGGTTATAGAAATGGCCTTGAAGCAATGGTAGAGGGAAAAGAAAAACTAGGAGATTAAGTGCTATCTCTACAGGGTGTATATTATATTATTTGTGTATCTGCATCTCCACTGCAACTGTGGCTAGAATGTCTGCTGGAGAAGAGCAAGGTCCTGCTCTTATCCACTGCAATATCCTGAGCACTGGGAACTGGCACAGAGTAGGAAGTCAATATTTAATGCTAAGTAAATGAATCTCTGAGGCAATGGGGGTGAAAAGATTTCCACATTTGCCTGGAGTTAGGTTTCAAGATGATAGTCTTTGAAAAACACTTTACAATACACAACATTTCACTTAATAACTTTGCTGATATCCATTTTTTCCAGGTGTACTCACATGCTATTTTTTAAAAATTACAAAGAAACCATGGCTGCTAAACAGACTAAAAGATCACAAAGTATAATAATAAAGAACAATTATATAAACTAAGGCCCACATATTGAACCTAGTCCATCTGCAACAGAGAACTATAGAGAAAAAGCTCATTGTCACAAAACAATAGTTGAATAAAAATATTTTTAGTAAATTGGAAAAAGTGAGTTCAACTGAATTTGAGGAAAGCTTATTATACTGAGTTAAAACCTTATAAGACATTTGCTAAATTAAAAATTAAGACATTCGCTAAATTAAAATTAAGGATTGGGGTCAAAATGGGGGGGTTGCAATTGTATGGGGAATATAAAAATAAAATTTATTATTTAAATCTAAAAAAAAATAAAGTAAAAATCAAAATAAAAAAGATAAATAAAAATTAAGGCCATATTAATTTAATGGGTTTTAATATTAACTTGGGCACTTTCAATTAGGGTTCTCTTTGACTTGGTCAGAGCTCATCTGTTAGTGTGCCTATTTCCTAGTTTGTGCATATGATACTGTCACAAATAAAAGCCCATATCCTTAAGGGAAGTTTTGACATCTTAAAAGTATATTTAATGTCCTATGGAGATGAGGTGATCAGGGGGAAAAAGCAGGAGCATATTATTTGGTTGGAACAGAAATAGAAATCAGAGAAAGGCAGGTGATGGGAATGTCCCAGACAACCAGCACCGTTGGGCTAGGGAGCTTGAAAGGCTAATCCATCACCTTCAACAAATACAGAGACTGCTCAGTAACTGTGCTTAGATTACAATCTAGAAATAAGGCCAGTCTTACCCATAGAGAATTACAAAGTAAGAACAAGAAAAACATGGTCCCAGTTTCCTGTGTATTTATAATCTAAATGAGGGAGAAATTGTCAGGAGAGCAGGACAGCCACACTTGCCCAAAGAGAAGTTAACAGTTTTCTATTATTAGGATCGTGGAATTAAGAGAGCTAGTTTTAGGCAGAAATGCATGAATTCTCAGGATTTGTATTATTAGCCTCTTCTTAACTATTCTCTATTCTAAGACAGCAATTATGTGCTACCAAGATCCACTAGTAGTGAGAAGGAAAGAGTGGAGGGAAAGTAAAGAATAATATAATTCTAGAGCTTGATTCAAGTTTTTTCTCATGGGAAAAGTTTGCCTATAAACTCTGAACCTGATGCCTTTCCACTCATGCATAGGATGCCTTTAACAGTTGGTTGGAATTTCATTTTCAGCTCTTCACCTAGAAGTTATTGACCCCCAAATGGACACTATAAATAGTATTTATTTTGATTTTACACGTGAAATGATGTGCTAATATACTGCTTTCCATGGTGCTCCAAGTATAGTAAGTGCATAAAAACACCCAGACGTGAGGGAGATCTGGTTTTGAGTTACAAATCCTTCCTAGTCATCTCATTGGCTGGGACGATCATTCTTGTTTCCTTATTTCTCCAAATGCATCTCACACAAAGCCATTTATGCTCCAGATAAGTGGACAGGGCTTTGTTTAAGAATTTGTGGGTTTTGTTTCTCCATCAGAGTCTCTGAATCACCCACTCCTTTTTGAATATAATTAAATCAACAGTCGACCAGAAAATATCAAATGATGCACAAGTCAGAGAGGACAGGCAAGACTAGATGTTGCTAATTTTATAGTTTTCCCCACTTTGTATGTATCCTCATAACATAGCAATGACCAGGCAACAGGGAATAAAGGCACTGTCACCTGAAGGGCAGGTATAGATGTCCTAAGAACCATGTCAGTCAAAGAGCAAGACAGAAACCAAAGACAAGAGACAAGATCCAGAAACAAGTGACTGGAAGGTCTTGTTCTTGGTTTAAGAAGTTAAGCCAGGAATTTAGCAAAACCATGGGACTGAGCACAGTAAGGAAAGACCCTCCTACCTCACAGGGAGAGAATTAACATCATACTTTATAACAATTTAGTGCACTGGAAACTATCTCAAAATCTGAAATGATGAACTGCCAATCATTTGTGTGGACTTTACAAAAAAAGTGAGACAGCAAAGATAAGATATACAGTTAAGAAAAACTGATACCTCAAGGTAAAGTACATACATTAAAGAACATTACAGTTGTAATAACAAGGGGACAAAGTTAATCAAATCAATGTAGTCACTAAACAAGAGTATTTATTATTCTGTGTGATAAATTCACAAATAGATAACATTAGCACTCTTCTACCAATACACAGGAGATAACAGAGGACAAGAACTCCATGCAAGGAAAGCTGCTTGTGAATAAGAGTAATATGAGATGCTTTTATTCTTATAAAACATGTAGAGAAAAATTAGAATGTATAGTACTGTCAACAGAATTTCTTTGATATTCTTAATTGTGTAGTAGGATAATCACTTTAATATAACTTTGTTTTGTTATTTTAAAAAATTACCCTGCTCTGATATAATTGCTGCTTAGTAATAAAAAGACTGTGACACAAATATGACCCAACCACATAGTCAGAGACTACAAAGAGATTTAGAGTATACAGAGATCCTTCCATTTTATTTTGTAGATTTGCAATATTCATGAGCTATGAACTTGCTGTATATTTAAATAATGTTAAGTATAAAAACCCTAGAGCCTCCGCCAGAAGGCTTCAAGAATTTTAAATATTTGTAAAAGGCAGGAAGAGCAGTTGAGCCGAGCAGGGCTGAATTGAAAGGCACTACGGTGATGAGTCAGATATATTCATAGACAGTCCAAGACAGAAAAAATTTACAGGTTCTTGTTATGTCAAACAGGATGTGAACAAACATTTTTGTTGAGTTTGTCCTGTTACAGAAGAAAGGCTTTAAGTATGTTTTGCATGTATTTCTCTAGTCAAGGTACGGTCACTGTCTTCTACATTCAAAGTTGTACTCTCCTTATACTTAAGAGCATGAGCTACCCACTGGTTTTATAAAAAATTTCCTTTATACTTCAAGTAAAATACACCTAACAGAAATTACAGCTTATGACCAATGGAACTAGTAATTCAGGATGTGACATGGTCACAGAGAAGTAGAATAGAATTTTTGTTTATGTAAGAAACTCTGTGAGGTGCTTTCTGAATTTTTTTGGTTAAAGATTCCAAATCAGTTGATTTTGATGCATTACCATTATAGTGTTGAGGACTCTATGAAATGTCCTGGAAAGAAACTATGACTTGAAACAGGCCAAATAGGGATATTCATATCTTATTTTTTTGAAAAAAATAAACACATATTTGGTAACATGAAACATAGCAATGATCATGAAAAATTCGAGGCAGAACCAGACTTAAAAATATAAGTAAATATTTTCCTATACTGTAACATTATCTATATTTGTAGATTAAAACTGCTTTTGAACATTTTATACCTGACAAAGCCGTTGGCTGTAGACAGGAAATAATGTCAGCTTATAAAACTGAATCTTCTTCCAACATTATCGCAAAGATTTTAAAGATAACCAACCAGAATATCAGCCTCTGTTTTGATCAAAACACTCACATCCTGATCTACATTTATTTGTCTAGAGTCCACTGCTTGAGCTCCCAGTAGCTTGTTCTTCACTCTATGTGTGTATAAATAACATCAGACAGAAGGAAGTTTTACTTTCTTCTGAAAGCCTCAGAAACTAGAAAGCAATTATATCAAACCAGCTGTGAATCTAACTGAAAGCAAGGTTTGCATTATTGTTATTTATTTAATAATAAATTTTATTCACTCATCATCTGAATACTCAAGAATACATTCATGTGGTTTAAGAAGTACAAAAGTGTATACAGTAGAAGTACCCATCATTTATTTTTATTTTTGCTTTTGCTGTCAATCATGACATCACTGGCAAGTGTCAACTCTCTGTTAAATTTTACATTTTTCTTGTGAAGAATTTCTTGTAATAATTTAAATTCTAGAAAGATACTGGTCTTTTACATGACAGAAATGTAGATGAAAAGTAAAGAAGAAACCAAGGAATTTAAGAAATTTCTCATAAGACTATGTCCCAGCACAGATGTCATTTTGAAAGGAAGGCCACATATCAAAGAACTGGTAGGCTTTCAGGAGTTGATGGCGAGTATGGAAGAACAGGATATTAGCAGGAAGAAGAACGAAAGGGAAAAAGGCTACCATGGAATCTGATAGACCAAGGGGAATGAAGAAATAAAGTAGAATAATGAACAATGGGAAAATAGGGGAGTTTAAATGCTGTACTTCTGTAGAAGATACATTGGAAGGCCCTAAAAGTTACCTCATGATGAGACATGACTAGATTAGGACTTAGATATATCTAGAAAATACAAAGACAAAAGCAGGAGAAAATAACAGAAAGTTTTCATTCTCAAATACTGAAAAGCAATGAATAATTTCTCTAAAATTAAAGTA